TTTGTATTGGTTTATTATTTTTTCTTATTACATTATAATCATTATTTATTTCTTATGGCGCAATTATTACTATAATTATTATTTCCATTGCTCTGCTTTGGTGCCATTTTTATTGATGTTCTCGATCGTATCTTGGATATCTTGAAAAGGAGAGAGAGGGGGCAGAGGGAAAGAAACGAAAGAAGAAAGGAGAAAGAGAGAGCGAGAGAAAGGAAGAGGAGAGAAAGGAAGGACAGAGAGAGAGGAGGGAGGGAGGGAGAGAGAGAGAGGGGGAAGAAGAAGAGGAAGAAGAAAGATATGGAAAAGAAAAGAGAGAGGATAAAGAAAGGAAAAGAGAGAAGTGAGAGCGAGAGGAGACAGTGCGAGATAAGGAAAGAGAGAAGAGAGGAGGGAAAGAAGAGAAAGAAAGAGAGACACGAGAGAGAGGGAGAGGAAGAGGAGCCATCCAGACCGCAAACCCGATTGTTTTCCGTCGTGTTTATGTCTTCCGAAACATCGCGCTTTCCGAGATACGTTGCTGGGTCCGGGCTTCCCTCCTCTCCCCTCTCCTCTCCTTCCCTCTTATCCTCCCCCTCCCTCCTCCTTCTTCTTCTCTTCTTCTCTTCTTCTCTCCCTTATCCTCTCCCCCTCTTCCTCCTCCTCTCCTTCTCCTTTCTTCTCTCCTTCTCACCCTCCTCCCCCTCCTCTCCTCCTCTCCTCCTCCTCCTCTCTTTTCCCCCTTCCCTCTCTCTCTTTCCTCTCTCCTCCTCTCTCTCCTCTCCTCCTCCTCCTCCTCTCCTCTCCTCCTCCTCTCATCCTCCTCCTCTCCTCTTACCTCTCTTCTTTCCCCCCTCCCCCTCCTTTCCCCCTTTCCTTTCTTTCTCCTTCCCCCTTTCTGCCTTTTTCCCCTGCCTTTACCCCTTTCTTCCTGCCTTCCACTTTCTTTTCCATCTTCCCCTTCCCCTTCTTCCTCTCCCCTTCTTCTTCTCCCTTTCCCCGCCCCTCCCATTTTCCTTCCCTTCCCCATACCATTCTGTCCCCTTTCCCCTCCCCTCTTCCGTCCCTCGCATCCCCCTCTTCCAGGCATGTGTGCGGTTTCACTTGTGGGATTTTTTTTTTTTTATCTTCTTTCTTTCTTTCTTTCTTCTCCTTTTTGCTGTTTTCTATTCTTGATTTCTTCTCGCATTTAGCTCTTCTTGGCATTTTTACTTTTTTTTTTTTTTATTTTTTTTTTTACTTTGCATTTAGCTTCTTCTTGGCATTACTTCATTTTTTTCTGCTTTTCTGCCTCCTCACATTTTCTAAATTATTTTATCAGTCTTCATGATTATCTTCTTGTCTCCACTACTGTGTAATTACTAACACCATTATTTTGTTTTATTCCTCCTTTTTATCTCCAGTCCTTTTCACTTCCTCTCCTCTCCTTCTCTTCCTCCCCTTTCCTCTCCTTTTCTCTCCTCTCTTTTAAATTCCTTTACTCTTCTTCCTCTCCCGTCTTTTGGCTTCTCTCTCCTCTTCCGCTTCTCTCTTTCCTCCTCTATTTTCTCCCATTTGCTTCGTTCTCATCATCCTGTTTCCCCCTCTCCTTTTTATCTTCTCATTTATCCCCTCCCCACGTGTCCTTTCTATTCCTTCGTGAGAAACAAACGCTTCTCCTTTTCTCTATTTGCTCTTCCTTTCTCTCCCTTTGCTTCGTTCTCTCATCCTGTTTTCCTCCTCTCTCTCCTTTTATCCCTTTATCCCCTCCCTTTCTCCTCCTTCGTGAGAAACAGACGCTTTCTCCTCTTCTTCTCTATTTTCTCTCCTTTGCTTCGTTCTCTCATCCTGTTTCTCTCCTCTCCCTTTTTATCCCCATTTATCCCCCCTCCCTTTCTCCTCCTTCGTGAGAAACAGACGCTTCTCCTCCTCTTTCTATTTTCTCTCCTTTGCTTGTTTCTGCCTATCCTGTTTCTCTCCTCTCCCTTTTTATCCCCATTTATCCCCCTCCCTTTCTCCTCCTTCGTGAGAAACAGACGCTTCTCCTCTTCTTCTCTATTTTCTCTCCTTTGCTTCGTTCTTCTCCATCCTGTTTCCCTCCTCTCCTTTTTATCCCCATTTATCCCCTCCCTTTCTTCCTCCTTCGTGAGAAACGACGCCTCCTCCTCTTCTCTATTTTCTCTCCTTTGCTTCGTTCTCTCATCCTGTTTCCCCCCTCTCCCTTTTTATCCCCATTTATCCCCCTCCCTTTCTCCTCCTTCGTGAGAAACAGACGCTTCTCCTCTTCTTCTCTATTTTCTCTCCTTTGCTTCGTTCTCTCATCCTGTTTTCCTCCTCTCCCTTTTTATCCCCATTTATCCCCCTCCCTTTCTCCTCCTTCGTGAGAAACAGACGCTTCTCCTCTTCTTCTCTATTTTCTCTCCTTTGCTTCGTTCTCTCATCCTGTTTCCCTCCTCTCCCTTTTTATCCCCCTCCCTTTCTCCTCCTTCGTGAGAAACAGATCTGCGTAAGATCTATGACTTACGAGAAGTAGTTCCCTTGAAGGAAGCCAATTGATAGCCATCCACGTTTGTGTCTGTGTCTGGTTCCTTCTGCTTTAGCTTTTCTTTCTCGTTCTCTTTCTTACGGCTTCCTTTCAGTTCCGCTCTTGCTCTTTCTCTCTCTTCTTTTCCTTCTCCTTCTTCTTCTTCTTCTTCGTTTTCTTCTCTTTCTGTTTCTTATCTTCCCCTCCCATCCTCCCTCTTTTCCTCCTTCCTCTCACTTTCTCTCTCTTTCCTCATCTTCCCTTCCTCCCTCCCCTACTTCCCTCCCTCCATCCTCTCTCTTTCCTCCATTCTTTTTCTCCACCTTCCTCCTCCCCCTCCTTCCTTTTCTTCCCTCTCTCTTTTCCTCCTCTCCCCCTTCCTCCTTCTTTCCCTCCCTCTTTCCTCCTTCTCCTCTCTTCCCTCCATTCTTTTCCCTCCCCCTCCCTCCTTCCTCCTTCCTTCCCTCCCTCCATTTCCTCCCTCCCTTCCTCCCCTCCCTCCCCCGGCCTTCCCAGAAAAAGGCCTTGGTTATTTTCATTAGCAAAACGTGTCCGAATCTTCTGATTTTTTTCTCTGCTCCTTATCTCCCCGGGGATCAGCTGACCCCCGAGCCACCACGCAGCCATTAGCAAGCAGGAAAGCAGGCAGGCAAGAAAGCGGGGGAAGGGGGAGGGAGAAGAAAGAGGAGGAGGGGGAGGAGGAGGAAGAGGGGGGGAGGGGAAGGGGGAGGAGGAAGAGGGAGGGGGAAGGAGGAGGAAGAGGGTGGGAAGGAGAGGGAGAGAGGGAGGGGGGGAAGAGGAGGGAAGGAGGAGGAGGGGGGAGGGGGGAGGAAGGGGAGAGAGGGGGAGGGGAGGAGGAGGAGGAGGGGAAGGAGGGAAGAGGGAGGGGAAGTAGGAGAGAGGGGGAGGAAGGAAGAAGGAGAGAGGGGAGGAGGAAGAGGGAGAGGGGGAAGGAGGAGAGAGGGAGAGGGGAAGGAGGAAGAAGAGGGAGGGAGGGATGCGTGTGAATCGGGTTTGGTTTGTCCAGCTGTGGGCACTGAAAGGGGGGGGGGGTAAATGGGTTAAAATGGGGAAGGGAGGACAAGGGATTTTGTGTTTATTTAGGGTGAGGGAGGGGAAAGGTTTGGGGTAAATGAGGGAGAGAGGGGAGGCGGATTTTTGTATTTGGAGGGGAAGGTTAAGAGTAAGGAGGGAAGAAGGGAAAAGGAGGGAGGGAGAGAGGTTTAGGGTAAGTGGGGAAGGAAGGAAAGGAGATTTTGTGTTTAGTGAGGGCGAGGAAGGGAGAGAGGGAGAGAGAAAGTTAGAGAAAATGGGAGGGAGGATAGTTTTGTTAGGATGAGAAGGGGGGTCCAAGGATTAAATAGGAAAGGGAAAGGGAGGGGTTGTGTGTCTTTTTGGGGTAGGGGAGGGAGTGTGAGGTTTGGGGTGAAATGGGGAAGGGAGGTTTGTGTTAGTCGGAGTGGAGGACGAGGGGAAGTGAGGGGAGAATAAGGGGGGAAGGGAGGCGGTTTTTGCATTTGGAGGGGAAATTAAGAAAGGAGGGGAAACGGGAGGGGTTTCGGCTCGACTGGTGTAATTTGGTCAAGTTTAGTATGTGGGGGATTCTGGAAAAAAAAATGATAGCGATGAAAATGATAATAAATAGATAAATAAATAATAATAATAATGATAAGTAGATAAATAAATGATAATAATAATGATAAATAGATAGATAAATGATAATAATAATGATAAATAGATAAATAAATGATAATAATAATGATAAATAGATAAAATAAATGAATAAATAATATAATAGATAAATGAATAGTGATAATGATTAATAAATAGATAATAATAATGATAATTAACAATGATAATAATAATAATGAAGAGCAGAAATAAAGAAAGGAAAAGGAAATAAACCGGAATAGAGAAACTAGCCGAGGGTCGCGCTTGAAGGCGAATGAAAATCGTGAGACAAACATTTTCCTTTCCTGACCTGACCTGGATCCCCAACCCAGTCTGTCTCTCTCCTTGACCTAGCTGACTAATCTGTCAAGTTCTAACTTAATTGGCTTGATTGCCGAATCTGTCAAATTCTAACTTAATTGACTTCATTGTCTAATTTGTTGGTTTCTAATCTTAATTAGCGTGATTGTCTAATTTATTAAATATAAGTTAATTGGCTTGCTTGTCCAATTTATCAAATATAACTTAATTGACTTGATTGCCGAATCTGTTCATTTCTAATTTAATTGACTTCATTGTCTAATTTGTCGACTTCTAACTTTGCTTGTTTACCTCAGCTATGGATTTCTGAGCTGACAGCAAACCTGCCAATTGCTAACTTGACTTGACTTAGCATGACCTGGCTGACCTAACCTTACCTATCAGAAAATCCAAACTTGACCTTAGCTCGGGACTTGACTGATCAGGTTGCAGAAGCTGGCATATTGAGCCGATCCACCGGGTCGCTTGGGGAAAGAAACGAGATTCTGGCGATCTCTCTCTCTTTCTCTTTCTTTCTTTCTCTTTTCTCTTTCTCTTTCTTTCTCTTTCTTTCTCTTTTCTTTTTCTCTTTCTCTTCTCTTTCTCTTTCTCTCTCTTCTCTTCTCCTCTCTCTTCTCTCTCTCTCTCTCTCTCTTCTCTCTCTTCTCTCTCTCTCTTCTCTCTCTCTCTCTTCCTTTCTCTCTTTCTCTTCTCTTTTCTCTTTCTCTTTCTTTCCTCTTCTTTCTCTCTCTCTCCTCTCTATTCTTCTATCTTCTATTTCTCTCTCTTCTCTCTCTCTCTCTCTCTCTCTCTTATCTATCTATCTATCTATCTATTTCTCTCTCTCTCTCTTTTCTCTCTCCTCTTTCTCTCTTTCTCCCCTCTCTCTGTCTCTCTCTGTCTCTTCTCTCTCTCTCTCTCTCTCTCTCTCTCTCTTTTCTCTCTCTCTCTCGTCTCTTCTCTCTCCTTCTCTCTCTCTCTCT